TTTTTTTTCTGCTGCATCCTAGACTATACTTCAACGGTTGTTCAGACTCATTGGCGGGCACTCTGGGAACTGGTATGCGAACTGTTGGCGAAATGCGTTCTACACTGCGATCATCGCTTCCTGATATGAGCAAACCTGCAAAAATATACGACCTTGCCGTACTGCAAACAACTAACAAAAAGTTGCCCGAAGATGCTGATAGGTAAGATCTTTCGACGTTATCTGGTATCAATTTACCTTATTCACTTTATCAGGTTTTTGAACTTATCTTTTATTATCTCTAGAGTTGTGACTTCAGTACCTATTTTTTCTTATTCGTAGTGGTGCATACCGGAGCTTATATATATGAAATAAACGCAGAAAGTGCAAAACACCTTTTAACAGTTGATCTTCTGTAGCGAGGTTACTGAGCAGACCAATAGTAGATATGAAGACTATTTTATTAATTTTATTACAGACAACATCTCGAGCGTCACTTGGCCCGAGAAGAGTTCGAGAAGCTGTTTGGAATGAGCCCTATAGAATTTTACAAATTGCCGGAGTGGAAGCGTATCAATTTGAAAAGAAAATACAAATTGTTCTAGCCATTGCATGCTGTTATTTTTGCCTTTGGAAAGTTCACGCTAATTGCTATGTCACATTTGTTGGATATATGAGTCGACATTGCTACAATAGGCGTCATTATCGTGAGGCATCTGTCTGTGAACTCGCTGTTTTTTGTTGATGTGAGGTGGAAGGAATATGTGCTTCACTACATGCTTTATCTAGCTTTCCTATAATATTGTGCCAAACGGAAATTGCGTGATCATAGAATTAGAGAGTTCCCGAGTTCTGTTGTTGAGATGTCTAATTATTATCGCTGTTCGTTTGGGTAGTCATCATCTGTCACCAAATCGATACTGTCAATAGAGTTTTAGTAATGTGTCGTTGTGAGTTATCCCACCGTTTTTGATCTATTTCAAAAACTTTAATTGCTCTGATTATATAAGAAAAGCATAATTATGAATTAACTAGGCACGTTCATCCCGTTGTTTCCCTAATCGCAGTCGTTGAGCCAAAAAATGTTTTTTCTTTCTGAAACGCGGCTTTGCGTTCTGATCTAAGTTGTCTGTTTAGGAAATGGTTATCTAGTTCCAATTTTTTTCTCCGTATTTGCACGACTCTGCCTTAAACGCTTGTGAGCTGCGTAACTCCTACGTTATTCTTTGAAATCATGATATGTTTGTGGGCTTATTTACAAATGAGCGTTTACGTTCTTTTGCTACCCTTGGTAAAAAAACGTATATTTCATGTGCAAAGTCTATGTTCACTCTCATTCAGAGACGCTTTCAAAAACTAAATGGCTTTGCTTGATTTCTGCTTACTTGGTCCCAAGTATGCTTATGAATAAATCATGATCACAATAATTTATATGTAGTCTGATATACAGAGTGTCCCAAAAAAATGTGAACACTGTTTGAT